TCACGACTCCCCAAGGCAACCTGTTGACTTTTCAGTACTTGTTTGTGAATAGGGTTTAACTGTACAGCAAGGACACATGGCGTAGTGAAACGCTTTGTTTGCTGGCCCAGCAAGACCGGTGTAGCTATAAGCAGCAGATCCCATAGCAAAGGTTGGAAGAACAGGAGGGTAAGGCATAGCGAACGCCAAACCGCGACCGCCAGCCCCATACGTGTATCGGACCGAGCTGAGCGCCGAGTGAGCAGCTGCTGCGTTACTCAAACTAGAGATGGGCGAAAATGCTGATTTGAAACCGGTATTTCCACTAAGCGAAGGTGGAAGATAGGAAGGAGTTGTCACTGAGATCGAACTCGGATCAGTTGACAACATGGTCGATCGATCAGCCTGATCAGGATGATTGTTGAGTACCTGTTCGATGGCTTGGACAATGTCACTGTTGCAACCTTGTAGAATGAGCTGTAACACAGATCGCTTCATGTGGGGGAAGATACGACACAAAGTCTCCAGAGGAGCACGGCGATTGTTTATGGAATGTTGCATAATGCTGAAAGGGTTAATGCCGGGCTCAGGCAAAGAAATCTTCGCAACCACATCGTTCGTATGGCCTTCACTCCTTGGGCTGTCCGGGTCGGAACAAGGCGTCGGCGATGTGGCCGGGGATTGTTCGGACATGTTGATTTTCTCTTCGGCTATTTCTCGCTGACCCTCTTTTGAAGGACTGGACGACCTGCTGTCCGAGTTATCCGTTTCTGTTCGCGCTCTCTTCGTGGCTGAAACAACAAAAAACCATAATAATATTAATAAAAGTAAAACAACAACAACAATCATGATAATATTAATAAAAGTAAAAGTAGCAAGAGTCACCATAATTTACGTCTGAATTTCTGGAATAAGGAGTTATCGTTATTTATATTGTACGCATTTCACTACATTTCGTCCGTTGTACACTCCAGCCTTCATCAGGTGCTCTTCAATCAAGGTAACATTCAGGGAATTTATGGGGTAGAACGAGAACAATTTTATGGTTACCCAGAGCGCCGAGCATCTGATTAAGTCCGGAGTGCACAACGGACAAAACGATGCGATCATAACAACAAAGATGAGGATACCCCACATGTAAATAATAATAATGAGTAATCGTAGAAACACAATCGAAAATGAACTTCCATTAAACCAGAAGTAATTTTTAAAAAATTCAGAGTGATATGTAACAATTACTTACTCTTAATGCTTAGAGCGCGCACACACTCACACACAGACACACACACACACATATATATAATGAAATGGGTTAAGTTCGACAATTATTTAGTATATTTCCTGTTTATACGTTATTTTTATAGATACAATTTATTTAAGTAAATGTTCTGTTTTTTTAATTAAACCGTATTAATTACATATCAAGGCCTGGCTGTTCGAGAAATTTCATAAAAAAATATGCGTTCTCCGACAGGAATCAAACCTGCATTCCTCTACGGAAACCGTCATTGATCTGACGTGGTATACCATTTAGCTACAGAGAAGCGTCTGGTTAGCAAGTTCAAGTTAGTTTTTTTAAACACACAATCTCCGACGATTTTTCTCGATCGATCATATCTGTTCATGAAACGTATCTTAACATAAACAATGACAATATACAATGAAATGGATTAAATCCAACAATTATTTTATATATTTTCTGTTTATACATTATTTTTATAGATAAAATTTATTTAAGTAAATGCTCTGTTTTTTTTAATTAAACTGTACTAATTACATTTACCGACTTGAATTTTCGAGAAATTTTGTAGGAAATATTTATAAAAATAACGTATACACTGAATATATATATATATATATATATATAGTCTCAATTCTTGTATGCATTTATATATTGTCTCAACTCGGCACCTGAAGTTTGTATCGTGCATGAAACTCCAAGTCGTTCTATCGGTGAGGAAAAATGTATATTTATTAATATATAATTTATAGTTCTGTTATATTACATCAAGCACTATTAAATATTTTAATTTCACGCGATTGCCAGACTAATTAACTTTACTTCACTTTATAAATTTACCTTTAATAATAACAGTTTACGTATAGATTTTTAACAGTCAATGATACAAGAGATGCATAATTAGTTGGTCAGAAGTCTATTATTGTATTGTTATTACATAACTGTTGATCCGATGTTATGGATAATCCGGCACAATTCTGTAACCAAGTGTGCCAGCAAATCAGTCACACACACACACGATAGTGATTATATATATTATGATCTGACCGCTCGGACACAGAGAGCATTATATATATATATATATATATATATATATCAACACGATAGTCTTCAGAAAAGTCCTCGTCCAGACTCATTTCACTTAATTTGAGAGTCCCATATATATATATATATATATATATATATATATATATATATATATATATATATAAATCATTTTTCATATAGACAAAAACAATTTACTCCAATTTACTACAAAAGATGCAACCTCTTTTCGGTGCATTTAGTTGCACCTCGACTCGTGAGAACCAAAATGGTTATGAACAATTCTGTCTGTAAGTAGCCTGCTTACAAACAGAAATGGAAAAATATATAGAAAATAGGAAAGAAATCGTTAGGTAAATAATCCAAAGTTCTTTAGTATTTTTGTTATTATTTTTAAAAAATAGTGCTCGATACAAAAGTAGAGCATAAATATAATTATTTATTTAAAAATATGATTTCAACGCTAATTAAAGTACCAAGCTCTGTTCCATCTTCAAGCGACAGTTTTTTTGGAATAGTTATTTATTTGTACGTTTGTACAAAATGTGACACAAGGCCAAAAAAGGGGGTTGGTGTAGGAAGGTCTTCTTCTGTCTTGATTCTAAAATTAGCTAGTCACAGACACGGACCCAAACATACCAACAATATTCCTATCACCAAAACAACACATTCACTCCTACCTTTCTTACTGCGTCCACCATAATACCCCAAATTCTCTATGAAATCCTAACTAGTCCCCATATGTACATTTCAAGGTCTGTGGGGGAGGGGAAAAACAACAATTTAAAAACCCTAATGATTATTTACAATATGATTTAATACTATTTACATAAAACAAAACAAAATAGGGTTAGTAATAACCCCCCTACAATCCCTAAATGTGGCAGAAACATTAGTTAACTGGACGAAATAATTGCGGGATTATAACATTATATAAAACCAAGCACACCCACAAACACGCACTCATTTTTGGAATAAATAATTCCTGAAATTTACGCGTTTTATAAGCATATTCATTATTAAAATTAAAATTACTATGGTAACGGCTAGAGCAATTATTTAAAGAAAAGGGGCGTAAGGGTTAATAATTTGTATCAATATCTTAGTTACATTCAAAGACGTCAAGTCAGGGTAAGATTGGGGTGTCTAAATTTAAAGCGGAAAATGACATCGTCTAGTCTGGTTAAGTGTCTATGGAGATTTATTTTTTTTTATTTTATTTTTTATTTTTTTCTGAAAGGGTTTTGTGTATATAAAAAAAAACTGTCATAAGTCGCTAACATTTGTTTTTTTGACAACTTCATAAAGGGTTATCTTTTTTTCTTTTCTTTTTTTTGTAGGGCATTTAAACTATTTATTTAGACTATGGAATTTAAAAATTATTTTATTGTTTGTTTGTTTTTATGCTAATTATTCAATGCGAAAGTTTGATGATGTCGGCAAAAAACCGTTAACTCATGTCTATTGTTTAATAGATTTTTATTATTTAGAAACTTAATAATGTGTAGTTTTTCATGTAGGCATAAAGGGTATGGGTCATCCCAAGTTTTACAAGTTCTAGTTTTGTTTATAATTTTCCATTTTACTTTTGGTGTTTTATTCATTTCCTTCAAATGCCAAAAATATTTAGATAGAGATGTCTGATTTCTTTTATTTATATTGTTGAAGGAGCACTTATGCTGCCTCCATCTGGTTTTAAATTCCTTCTTCGTAGACCCAATGCATATCATATTAGTATTAGGACTCTCAATGGATGAGATAGTACATTGGTATACCACAGATTTTACGTGGCATTTATTTTCCAATGGGCAGTCTTCTGGGTTTCTACAATCAGATAATTTTTCACTATTTTTGTCTAATTTAAGTGTAGGGTTTTTATTAATACTATTCTGGCATGGAGGTTTATTCAGGATTTTATTATTGTGTTTTTCTTTTATTATACTTTCTAGATTTTCAGTGCAGCTGTAACTTAATTTTAGGGTGTTTTTATTAAATATTTTACTAAGTCTACTATTGGTAGGAAAGTGTTTTTCAATTAAAGCTAGGAATTTCTGTCCTAGCTTAATAGTAACCATTTGGTTGAACGGAGGGGTATACTAAATGATTTTTCTTTTCCTGTTTTTTTCTGGTTAGTACAATTGTTTCTATAATTGATGTTAGCATTTTTGTATCCACTATTTTTTAGGGCTGCGTTATAAAAATTACTGTGTTGTTGGAATATTTCTTTATTAGCGAAGTTAATGCTGATTCTATTCTCTATCGATGAGGGTATATGTTTAATTATGGATGGAGAGTGGTTTAACTTAGGGTGTATATATAAGGGGTTAGTATTAGGTTTTCTATAAGGTAGGTATGTGTTGTTTGTTAAATCTAGAGTTACGTCGAAGAAGTTTTCCCTTTTTAATTTATTACAGACTGTTGTTTTTAAATTTAGATTTCTAAATTCACTATATATAATCTTTCTAATTTTCTCAATTTTAAAATTAGTAGAACTCCTCACTACCATGAACCCGTCTTCTCTATACAGCCCGATGTCCTTAATATCTAATTCACGGTGTGCGGTCAGGTCGTACAGTATTAAAAGACCGACAAAGTCTGCATCCATTTCTTTCACTGTTTACGCTCTACGTCCATGGAATTCTCAGTATCCTTCTGTAGAGCCACATCAGTTGCCGCCAGATTTCTCAGTAGCAGGGCAGACTAGGATCTCTAACTTTGGCTGTCTCGAAGAAAGACAACTTTAAATTCAAAATCGCATGGAATTGGGGCTAGCAAGTGCCGTTCGTAAAAACGTACTTGTTGCAAAAATCACAGTAGTAACATCTAGAGGGATCAAGCTATGGCCCTATACTCTACAGAAGAATCTAAAGGTTTAATAATAATAATAATAATAATAAGAAGAAGAAGAAGAAGAATGTGTGTATGTTTGTGTAAAAGTATGAGGGGAGTGAGAGAGATGTTCTATCCAAGCGTTTGACAAACTGAGGTGCAAAATAGCATCCTCAACGAAAGAAAAATTGGCCCTTCTTTTACTGGTTAAGTAATTTCGTGAGACATGTGAAATGTTCGGCGAGACATAGAAAGCGCTGATAAATTGAAAAATGAACCGATTGGTCAATCTATTCAGTTTGGCTGAACCTTCAGGTAGCATCCTTTCCACACACACACGTACAAATATATATATATATATATATATATATATATATATATATATATATATCAAGTATAGGATTGGTGTATTCAGAATAAATTCCAATAACCAACAAATACTATTCTTAAAAGAGTGCTCAATACAGAGTAGAGCAAATATAATCATTTATTCGAAAATTATAACATAAAAATGTTATAAAATCACTACAAAAATAGCCATTTAGTTTCAACACCTCTGGTGTCTTATCAACACCATCAC